TGTCCGAGGCAGTAGCAAACAATTCGGCCAACCTCTCTGAATTCGACAGGAAACTCTATCAATCAATGCGCAGACAGAGGCAGACCAGGCAAGCGGTTGCTACGGCCTGTCAAGATGCACGGGTAGAAACCGCCGAGAGTGTGGCTCAGACGCGGAGGCGACGCATCGACAAGATACGTGACTTCTTCCGCAGACACAAAAAACACTAAAACGTCCGGTTCAGGTGCGGAACACGCGTGCTCCATCACTACCAGCTCATACGTCTTTCATCATTTACGTCCGTCGCCCCCTAATTTCCCTATTTGGTCGCCTCTTAATTTACAGTCCCACCTAGTATGTACAGACAATTCACGTTTTCTCCAGCACCGTTTATTCATGGGCCAGCCAGCGCTGCCTAAATATGGTTCATGGTTTCACTGCCCTCCTTCTTGCTCAGGAGACAAACACTTATGCTTGAACCGACAGGCCTAATTACATTATTTCAGTCGCCTCTCACACATTTTCCGTCTTTCTTATAAATACAGAGTACTCGCTTATGCTCTCTTCAGACATTTCGTCTCGTTTTTCAGAGGGACCAAAAGCAACTTTCTTCAGGAAGGGGGAACAGTTAGGCAGGAAATGAAATGACTTAAAACTTTGGGCCTGTTTAGTTGAAATTCAAAAGTTGCAAGTGAATGGCAATGGGCAATATGCTGTACTTTACGAGGTTCCTACAAAGAGCTGTTATTTCAGTATTCTTCATAAATGTTGATTGGTAACGAAGCAACTAGGCGGATATCCTTGCCGGGCGACTGGAATGGCCCTTTCTCGCTCATTAGCCGTCGTCAGCCAGTCATCTCCAATCCCAGGTGGTGCACCACCCCAGGCTCGAACTCGCGACCTCTCTGACCAAAAGTCTGACGCTCTAACCACTGAGGCCCGAGCTCGTTATTTTGTCGGTTTCAGGCCAGGAGATACTGACGCCAGTTTATGAACTTTCACCGACTGTTAACGGAACTCAATCCTCCCATGTACTGTCTGGTTGCTACTGCTTCTATAATCATCAGGTCCAGTCCTGTTTTGGGGAAGGCGAAAGGCAGCAGTAGAAGTCATGTGTT